GTCATCTCCAAACGAAAGTGAATTACCAAGCAACAGGAAATAAATGTGTAAACGTGATTATGTATGTGTATGTATGTATGTATGTATGTATGTATATATATATATATATATATATATATATATATATATATATATTTAACCCCTTGGTGCCGGGTATGACGTGTACGTACGTGCTATGCCCACAGTGAGTACTTGTTTGATTGTTTTTCCGCGTAGATGGCAACACTTGTACTAACTCCCCAATGAGCCAGTTACGAGCACCGCCCGTCTCGCCCGTTTACCCGTTTCTTTGATTTACAAAATATTTTACGTAATCTTATTTTGCTGTTACTAATGTTAAAAAATATATATATATATAAATTTTAATGTTTATGATAAAAATAACACCATCGATTTTCATAGCACTAGTGAAAAATACGTTTTTCCCGCCATTTAAATCAGGCGATTGCAGAGCCATCTATCGGCAGACATTTCACGAAAAACATAGAAAGTGGGCACAATATTTTCCCCATTTTTTGTTCATTTTCCCCGGCACCATTGGGATATATATATATATATATACACACATTATTTATCTATCTATCTGTGTGTATATATACCTATATACATTAATATATGTATATGTATATGACGATATATTAATGTTATTGTTGATGTATACAAAAATAAAGCAACTCCTTGGGAATTATTTACGATCGTTTACTCGTGAGGCCCTTTCTTACAAGGTCGTTCTCTGCTGGGAAGGGTGTTCTGGAGAGTGAGTCTGCTGGTGCATGTAAAGAGGTTCTGTGGGGAATTAGCGAGGTCTATAGATGGATTGGGAGTGTAACTACGTGGTGTCGACGGTTGCAAAAAAAAGGAAGCAAATTGAACGATTCCTGGGATGAGGTTGAGTGACGTCCCTTCTCCAGGGCCCCTCGCGTTCTTCGTGGCCTTCTTCTGCCCCCGATTGCAGGTCAGGTTCCTTCTTCATGGTCACGCTGTCATCCGTCTGATTTACTAGCTCAAGGGCATCATCATCCAAGTCACAGTAGTCCAGTAAAACATCTAAATAATTGTCTCTCATTACCATTCTGCAGTGCCATGTCAAAGTGCGAAAAAACAAACAATGTAGTTTACCTGTAGCGGCAGTAACGACTGTAGATTGGTGATTTATCGAGTGATTCACTTTTTCACTACTCAAATATTAGGTTATTTTTCTAGTATCGAAATACAACACTCACTGAGAGTAATACTCGAAAGTTAGTTAAAAGAGAGGTGTTAAGATTTTTTTTCGAAAAAGTAAATGCCTGTGTAAAAGGGTAACAGGTTGCCTCTAGACTTACATATTGTTGCTGTGACGTAATGCCTTGGCGAAAGCAAGCGACCAATCACATGGGAATCCGCCCACCACCTGTTACGTTTGCGCGGCCTGATGAATATTTTTAACTTAAGGTAGGTTTGGGACACACTCCCTTTACCCTTTTTCTTGTGAATATCCTTTTATGTACATTATAGGTTTACATGCGTGTACGTAAATATATTCGCATTGGGTAAACTCTCGACAGACAGAATTACGTAATTATTTTCTTATTTTTAAACCGAACAGTTCATCAGACAAAGACCCTGAGAGTTTCGACACTGATGAAACAGCAGGCCAGGGGACGTCGCTAAGGAGGACCTGGGAGAGTGGCTGGACGCGTTGGGTGGTGGCCCTCGTCAGTCACAGCAGCTGACGAAGGAGATCGCTGAGGAAATCCGGAGGAGCGGACACCTGCAGGAGGGGAAGGAGCGGAAGAGGAGGAGGAGGAAACGGCACCCGGAACATTTCTAGCTGCAGGTAGGCCTATAGATGCTTCAGACGCAACCCAGAACTTCGTCGACTGGGAAGGAGAGGTCGTCTGGCTATGACATTGCGAAATTTGGAGCATATGAGGTTGGAAATGACGTAGGCGCAGCAGACGAAGCCTCCGCGCCTCTTGCTCCGTTAGACTCCTCCTCCAACGGCATGACCGTGTGCCCTTTTTATGTACATGTTTATTTATCTACTTAGACGAATATAGGCGGTGCAGAATTTGTGTACAAGTTCAGGTGTACTCTTCGGTATGTATATACGTACATTTTCATTGTGTACACAGCAGTACACAAACTTTCTTCTGATACACCCAACCACCAATTACCGAAGTGCTGTGTCAGGTAACTTGGCCAATCATGTCCCTCCCACCGCCTTTGGTTGTCAGTTATGTGTATAAGGTTTGAGTATCTGCAGGTTGCGTTGTTGCTCTCAACGATTCGGTCAATTAACTTTTCCATTCGATCTCTTCCCTTCTGTAGTAGTTTTACTCTTGAGTAATTCACTCTTGTTCTTCCTAACAGTGTGTCCCATAAATCGGAGTTGTCTTCTCTTCAAATGTTTGGTTGTTTTCTCTCTGTGTTTGCTTGTTGCATTACTTGAGTGTTTGTATCTCTAGCCGTCTAGGGGATCCTAGGCATTGTGCGTATCGTCCTTATTTTTAAAGGC